AGCAACTGGACTGGACTGGACTGGCCCATTCACTCAGCAAAAATGTACTGAGAACACACCTAACATGCTAAGTCCTGGATATAAGACAAAAAATGTAAGATTCCATCCTCCCCCTTCCCAAAGGAAGAAAAAACCCAACAAAATAGCCAAAATAAACAGGTAAATAGGTGAGGACAAGACTTAGCACAGGCTTTAAGATTGGACAGACCTGGACACATAGCCTGACTCTATGCTTTACTAACGGTGTGACCTTGAGCTTCTGTGTTCTCTTGTATAAAATTGTGAAAATTTTTCAGAGGTGGTTTGTGAGGATTAAATGTGATAGCATTTATTTTCTTAAAATAGCATAGTATCTGGATATACTATGACTATACTGCTATTACTCTAGTAAGGGGCTCAGCAATGGTGGTAATTACCACTACTACTGGTTGACATGAGGCTGACAGAGGGAGGAGTACTTGTGGCCCCTTTTCTTCATTCTCCCATCAGATAGCCTAAAGTCCTCATCTTCCTGCCATCTGTACCACACAAATGGGGAGAGTTATTGGTAAGTTACAAGGGGCCCCGAAATGCCTCACTTAACGGGTTCTGCCTGCAGCAGGACTTAGTATAATCTCTTTCTCTCTCAATTTTTCAGGCTGACTTTCTCAGTAAACCACCACTATTTAATTCTTCAGAGTCAATGAGTCATCCACCAGTCCAAACTTGTGCACGTTCCTGCAAGATATAATTTGGAACCTTTGCCTAATAAGTTTTTATTAATAGTAAGATGATCAGACTAAGATGAAAATTGCTACACTTAAAAACAAAAAAGTATATTGAGAGCTTTCCCAGATATGCCCTTTATCCATTGTCTTTATAATTCATTTAACTTATAACAATGTAGGGCATTACATAAAAAAGCAACATGGTATCCCTATCCTCACAAGCTCTCCTGGAGGAGGCAGAAGAAATACTGGTAAACATCAAGTAGTGAACATGGAAACACAAAGGCAGTTAGGGCTATATAAAGAGAGGCACGTCAGTATTCAGGAGGGAGAACATCTATAAGAAACAAGAGTTAGCAGAATGTCAATCAGAAATGAAGCAGGACAGCACCTGTTTGGAAAGACTTCAAGGGAAGAGTTCTGAAGGGCAGTGGGTGATGAACGGAGAGGTGGCTTCAGGTTTGAAAAGAAACAACAAACAGGGATATCAGGAGATAACAGGGAAAGTAACCCTCTAAGAGCAGACAGCAAAGGTGAGGGGACTTGCAAATTCCTCCAGAACACTGCAGGACTCATCCAGTCAAAGCTAACTAAACAAGAGTTAAATAAATCTGATTTATTAAGGCAGATGTGAATTATATTGCACTCTCCTCCTATTACTTGTTTATCTGTATTAATCAGGTAATGAGTCAGCTTTCTGCTCACGGTTATCACAAATGGGAATGAGAATGTCCTAAAGCCAAACCCCAGCATATAACTTCAAAGGTCCAGAAGTGAATCACTGGCCTTATAGAGATCTCTGAAAGGTTAGAGACATCTAGGAATAATGACAGGAATTTTTAAAAATTATTAAAAATTATAAGAAGAGGATCTAGAAAATTACAGAAATACTTATTTTTTTAATTCTAAATGTTTTACCATGTCTTGCCACATATGATGGCAAGTTTTTAATAACTAGAAAGTTTATATTTTTGCTTTTTGTACAACGTTTACTACAACAGCACCATGTTGTCAGTGGATACTTTTATAAACATTTGTTGACTAACTTGGCTGTGCTTCTTACTACAGTCATGAGACTCACACATCAAGAAACCTTGATTCGCTCCTCTACAAAGTCACTGCAGGCCACATGGGTGAAATTTATACAGGAAAATGATAATTCTCATTTAGCAAGTTTGTTTGATGTGACAGGAACTATTCTAGTGCTTTACTTATCATTTCCAATCCTTGATGATTAATGAATATCACTCTGTGATAAAGCAGATGTCATTACAGATGAGAAAACAAGGGCTTAGAGAAGAGAATCAATTTCCTCAAGGCACACAATTAATAGGTCACTGAGAGGAAACTACAGCCCAGCTCAGCCTAATGTGAAAGAGAGAAGAAGGAAAGAAAGAAAAGAAGAGAGAAAGAAAGAAAGAAAGAAAGAAAGAAAGAAAGAAAGAGAGAGAGAGAGAAAGTGAGAGAGAGAAAGAGAGAGAGAGAAAGAGAGAAAGAGAGAAAGAAAGAAAGAGAGAAAGAAAGAAAGAAAGAAAGAAAGAAAGAAAGAAAGAAAGAAAGAAAGAAAGAAAAGAAAGAGAGAAAAGAAAAGAAAAAGGCAAGGAGGGAGGGAAAAGAGAACTATACCTCAAATTTTGAAAGAGACAAACAGAGAAAAATAGATAGATCTAGAAAAAGGGAGAAAAAAATTATAAAAACAACTCACCCTTCTTAAACAAGGCACAGCTGGAGGATTCAAATCAATTCTATTTCCCAACCCAGAAAATGTTTAGTAAACCACAGATTTTTTAGGGCTCCAACATTATTCCACAGCACCTCTTTCCAAACACCCTTTTTCTTCTATTACTATATATTACTGGATATTTTTAGAAAATATTGGTAACTCATCAATGAATCTCTCCCTTCTTTCCCAGCAAGGAAGGGAGGGAGAGAGGGAGGGAGGGAGGGAAGGAGGGAAGAGAGGGAGGGAGGGAAGGAGGGAAGGGGGAAGGGGGGAGGGAGGGAAGGAGGGAAGCGGGGAGGGGGGAGGGAAGGAGGGAGGGAGGAACTATCTTTGTAGACCTCTACCATAGTTTTTCAAATGAAAAATTAAATATCCAGGAAGTAATTCCCAACAGTCACCACACAAGATTGAAACCAGACAAGATCTGAAGCCAGCTAAGAGCCCTTTTTCTCCATTTACCAAAAAACAGTGATCACTGAGTCAGATATCTTCAGGTTACCTACACACCTGTAGCCATGTGCCAGGAGTTCTGCTACAGAGATAAAATCAGCCAGTTTGGAAATAATTGCAGCATAAGGTCTCACTTTATTGTCACTGATAGAAGAAATCTTAACAGTCCACAAAATCTCATAGGAACAATCCACAATGCCTCTTGAACTTAGAAAGGTAGATGTTGTATGGAGCATCCCATCCTCTCCCTGCCCATCCTCCAGCTTGGCTCACTTCCAGTGGGAAGTGACCGTGTCTGGAAAGGAACTGGCCAAGTTTGACAGCAGCCTCAACTCCCACAGCACACTGGCTCTGTGTTCTTCAGGATGGTGCCCTGGCTGGGCCACAGGAATAACATCAGCCTCTACAGAAGCAGTGGGGAAAGGCCAGTTGCACTGACATTGTTGTTTCTGGACTGGTTAGCATGTCAAGAAACATGAGGCCATGCAAGGACTGAAAGAGGCTCTTGTTGAAACACAGCTGCCTCTTTTCTGTCCCCACATTACTTCAAGGGGGAAGTGCACTGCTCCTGTGCCCAACTCATCTTCTTATCTGAACCTCCAAGAGATGACAACTACAACTTTGAGAATCTACTGTGACAGCAATGCCATGCAGATGATATTTTCAGCTGAATTGGACACTCAGAGCCCAAGGAGCTGGTTAAGTAAGAAAGCCCATGTGAAGAGCCTAGGTAAGGTATGAAGCACTACAGAAACGTGCCTTTATGATATAAGCAGAAATAGGAGACTGATCAGGAGACAGAGCTCAGCCTAGACAAAACCAAAGCAATGTTCATCACAATAGAAGGAAAGAAATCAAAATTCCAGAAGAAAGCCGGGTAGGGGTGGGGTCGGGGGAGAGGGCGGGGGTGGACTTTAAAACATCTTACCCTTCTTAAAGAAGCCACAGCTATGGAATTCAGATCAATTCTATTTTCTAACCCAGAAGATGTTTAGCAGATCACGGATTTATTTGGGGCGCCAGTATTATTCCACGGCCCCTTTCCAAACACCCTTCTTCTATTACTAAATGGCTAGGTTTCTTTTAGAAAATATTGATAACTTGTCATTGAATCTCTCCTTTCTCTCCCAGCTTGAATCTCCAGGGGAAAAAAAATAACAAAAGAATAAAAAATAAAAGAAAGAACAGTGTTTAAAAAAAAAAAAAAGTGGGGACAGAGGACCTGAAGTGTCTTAGATCTGAGATCGGACTTCCTCTTGCGGGCATGTTTTCTTTATAAACTGCCTTTATGAACACCTGCTTAGTGGTTTCAAGATCCTGCAGCCTTTCACTGTGGCACATGCCGACTTTCATATGCCACAAGTTTCCCCTTTCCATCCCACTCACAATGCCTGGGTTCAATCCCTTGTCACCTTTTGCCTCACTGAGAGAGCGAACCCTCCACTGCCCTACCTCCAGGCTCGGTCTCTCCAAGCCACCCTCTACTCTGCCACCAAGTAGCATCCTAAACTTTAAATCCCTTCATGTTCTCCTTTGTAAAATTCTTCATTATCTGTTCATTGCCTATAGCAGTGGTTCTTAATGGTTTCTTGGAGATCTGATTACAGCTTTGGTCACTATTTTTTATCCCTTGAAAACAAATCACCCATAAGCAATAAATCCTGAGTTAAGAACCCTTGGCCTAGAGCAGAGGTCTCCAAAGGGGTAAGCACCAGATGATACATATGGTACAGAAAAACAATATTAGCATTCCGATTTTTCCATATTCCTACTCTTCAGCAAAACTAAAAAGAAAGTAATTAGAAAGTAATTGAAATGTATGCATGTTGAGTGTATGGAATGATACTGATGCCCTCACCTAACCCAGCTGAGTTTCCCTGAAGGAAGAACTCTTACAGGGTCCCACAAGTGAGAGGTGATGGGGGGAATCCACATTCATTTCTTCACTCTCAGAATATTGGAACGGATTGCATTCTACATGCTAGAGGATGTTATCAATAGTTAATTTGATAAAATTAAGCCCTTTATATATAAAGAAGTTTCTTGGCAAGTCTTCTAAGTTAGTTGAAAAAGTTTATCGAACTTAAAAGACTTGCCAAGAACCTACTTTATGAAGGGCTTAATTTTATCAAATTAACTGTCCTTCCTACTTGGTTAGTTATTTTGTATCCAAATACTTAACAGTTATCCAACTAAAAGTGGACTTGCACATTTTTCTTTTCCAAAGACAAGGCTCCCAAGTTGTCTAACCTTTCCTGTGATGACTAGTGGCTACCAGGATTATGCAGATATTTTCAGAAAAACAGATATGCTTAGTATGTCTTTTCAAGGTAAAGATAACATTTTAATAGTGAATAAGAAAGTAATTGCTTTTCTAAATTAATTTGTTGCTTTGAAAACGGGTGTGGTAGCAGCTTCTGAGGTTGCCCCTGCTGATCTTCTCTTCCTGGTATCTATATCCTTGTGTAACCCCTCCCCTAGAATATGGACTGTGACTTAGTAACTCTAATAAATAGGATTATGGAAAAAGTTACTTCGGAAATTATGTTACAGAAAGGCTGAGACTTATATCTTATTCACCCTCTCTCACTCTCTATGGAGAAGCCCTTGGCAAGGAACTACCACCTCTAGCCAACAGCTGACGAGGACCTGAGGTATGTCAACAGGCACGTGAGGGAACTTGGAAGCAGAGCCTCAGTCAATTTCGCCTTGAGCTGACTGGAAGCCCGGCCAACCCCTCAGCCACAGTGTTGTGGGAGATTCTGACCCAAAATAATGCAGCTAAGCCACTCCTGAGATCTGTGACCCACAGAAACTATGAGATAAAAAATGTCTGTTGTTTTACAATACTAATTGTGGGGATGATTTGTTATGCAGCAAGAGATAACTCATACAATTGGGGGAATGTTTCCTCATCATTGATTTAATGGCTAAAAGTAATGTGACTGTGTCTTATTAAAAAACAAAAAGATACCTCTCCTATCTGACCATTAAAAAAAGATTAGAAACAGATTTTTCTTTCTTTCTTTCTTTTCTTTTTTTTTTTTTTTTTTTTTTTTGCCTCCCTTCCTAGTTCATTATGAACAAACTATCAACAAAAACCATCCTGTTCAGCCAGTTTCTCAGAGCAACCGTGGGAGTCAAAGCAGGTAAAGTGGACTTCTTAATTTGCAAACTTTTAAGGGTTGTATTATTTATTACTTGGTTTTTTTTCTCAGGGGAGGACTTAGGTAGAAATTACCTTGATATAGAATGAAAAATGTTTGCCTGGAAAATGTGTAGGATGAAGAGAATAGAAACCAGTAATTAAAATATCAATTGGTATGTACTATAATAATTTCAATAATGCAAGTAAGCTGTTGGTAAATATACTATGATTTTCGTTTCAGTAATTTTACTGGATACTAAGTATTAACACCAGCTAACAACATTAGGGAAGATTACAACTATAGGAGTGAGGTTTTGGTGTTTTGTCCCTTCTTGTTTCTTATTGTCTGTTAACTTACACATGTTGTTGAGTGACTGCCCTTCAGAGATGGGGTCCTACTATGTTGCCCAGGCTGGTTTCGAACTCCTGGGCTCAAGTGATCCTCCTGCCTTGGCCTCCCAAAATGCTGAGATTACAGGCATGAGCCACCACACCTGGCTATTTTAAAATATTTTATTGAAAAACTCTTGGTGTTTATTCTTTCCCTTGCAAGCATTCTTTACTAACTCTTTTTCTGGCATCTTCTATAATTCTGCTTTTAAGGTTTTTTTTCTTTATTTTTTATTATTATACTTACATTATATAGGGTACATGTGCACAGTGTGCAGGTTTGTTACATATGTATCAATGTGCCATGTTGGTGTGCTGCACCCATTAACTCGTCATTTACATTAAGTATATCTCCTAATGCTATCCCTTCCCCCTCCCGCCTTCCTCCACCCCATGACAGGCCCCAGTGTGTGATGTTCCCCACCCTGTGTCCAAGTGTTCTCATTGTTCAGTAACCACCTATGAGTGAGAAAAAGGCAGTGTTTGGTTTTCTGTCCTTGTGATAGTTTGCTCAGAATGATGGTTTCCAGCTTCATCCATGTCCCTACAAAGGACATAAACTCATCCTTTTTTATGGCTGCATAGTATTCCATGGTTTATATGTGCCACATTTTCTTAATCCAGTCTGTCATTGATGGACATTTGGGTTGGTTCCAAGTCTTTGCTATTGTGAATAGTGCCACAATAAACATACGTGTGCATATATCTTTATAGCTGCATGATTTATAATCCTTTGGGTATATATCCAGTAATGAGATGGCTGGGTCAAATGGTATTTCTAGTTCTCGATCCTTGAGGAATTGCCACACTGTCTTCCACAATGGTTGAACTAGTTTACAATCCCACCAACAGTGAAAAAGTGTTCCTATTTCTCCACATCCTCTCCAGCACCTGTTGTTTCCTGACTTTTTAATGATCGCCATTCTAACTGATGTGAGATGGTATCGCATTGTGGTTTTGATTTGCATTTCTCTGATGGCCAGTGATGATGAGCATTTTTTCATGTGTCTGTTGGCTGCATAAATGTCTTCTTTTGAGAATTGTCTGTTCATATCCTTTGCCCACTTTTTGGTGGGGTTGTTTGATTTTTTTTGGTAAATTTGTTTAAGTTCTATGTAGATTCTGGATATTAGCGCTTTGTCAGATGAGTAGATTGCAAAAATTTTCTCCCATTCTGTAGGCTGCCTGTTCACTCTGAAGGTAGTTTCTTTTGCTGTGCAGAAGCTCTTTAGTTTAATTAGTTCCCATTTGTCTATTTTGGCTTTCGTTGGCATTGTTTTTGGTGCTTTGGACATGAAGTCTTTGCCCATGCCTAGGTTCTGAATGGTATTGCCTAGGTTTTCTTCTAAGGTTTTTATGGTTTTAGGTCTAATATTTAAGTCTTTAATCCATCTGGAATTAATTTTCATATAAGGTGTTAGGAAGGGATCCAATTTCAGCTTTCTACATATGGCTAACTAGTTTTCCCAGTACCATTTATTAAATAGGGAATCCTTTCCCCATTTCTTGTTTTTGTCAGGTTTGTCAAGATCAGATGGTTGTAGATGTGTGGTATTATTTCTAAGGGCTCTGTAGAAACAGAATTTTCTAGCCCGTGTCTAAATAATCCAGATGAAGAGTATGAATTTCAACCAACTACTAAAAATACTAAAATGCAACACCTTCCAAAGAGTTTACAAGAATGACTAAATGATATCAGGAAAAACAAAAAGTTACTGATTACATTTCAAGAAAAACCTAAGTACAGTGTTTAAGACTGAAAAAAAACTGCAAAAACTGCATTATGACTTAGTTAGTCCTGCCAATAAATACTCCTTCAATCAGAACTGTATTTCTTTATGAAGTGTCTTGATTTAACTAAAACTAGAAATCGAAATAAACTGAACTTAGAACCAGTCCTTTAAATTACCCCATCACAAAGTGTTAAATCAAAATTTTCAAAAACGTATCTGCATTTTCATACACATTGGTCTTTCTAATGTTTAAGAAAATTTTATAGGCGCAAAAACTAACATGTATCTTTAAATATTTCCTATTTAATCACATCTGTGTGTATTTCTGAAGGGATATAAGAAACTAATCTGATAGTCCATATATATAAATAAATATATCCAAATAAACACATATTTGAAGAGTATATGCTCAAGTTATTTTTGCTGGTAGGTGTACACAATTAAAAGAGTTTATGTAGCCTTGACCTCAAAGACAATTCCAAATGCTTTCGCTCAGTTTGTACAACCTATCTTTTTAGTCAGGCTCTTAGAGCCACTTGCAATTCTCAGGACACCGTTGACTGAGCTTAGAAGTCGATCCTGCCGCACAAGTCCCTTTCTACACCACCACTCCTATACTCACCCCCAAGTCCATGGAAGAATTCCGCCTCATATTTCAATGCCTCGCTTACTTGTCAAACAATTCATGACATTTCCTCCCTCTTTCTCCTCCTTTCACCTCTTAATGCTCTCAAAGTTCCCTTTTAACCCTTTTATTACAGAACTTACCATCCTATGCTATATTTTAAGGATTTGTTTCTGTTCCATTTACTCTTAACAAACCGAGGGCTTTCTACATAATTTGCTTAGTAGCAGGTGGTATGCTGAAAATGCTGTTGAATACATGAATAAATGGATGAACTAATTTTTTCAGAACTTTTTTCCTGTGGTTCAAAGTATAGCAAGTTGGAAAGGGAATCTCCTATCATTTTATTCTACTCAGATACCTGTATATCTCACCACCAACATTTAACTTAATAAATATTTTTCCAAAAAAATTTAAAAATTAATTTCAGCATTTCTGAGCAGATTTCTTTCAACCGTGTAAGCAGCATTATTCTATGGTAAGGAGCCAGACTGTGTCAGGTTAAATCCACCTTTGGCACCTGTTAACTCTGTAATCTTGGACACATTAAATATCCTCATTGCATCTCCATTTCCTCATCTGGTAAAATGGGGAAAATAAGATACGGCACAGACCTTATCTTATTAAAGGTCCATAAATGTTGCTTGTTATCCTGTTGACCTTTTGCAGAGGTATTAAATAAACATTAAGTGCTAAATATACTCCCAGATTAAGCCTCCCTGGACCTCCAGTGAATGCACACAGCACACACAGAGATAAGCATGTTAAGGACAGGAGCTCTGTCTACTTTTATTTTCATTGTAGCCCCGGTACCTGGCACATAGTAGGTGCACAATTACTGTTTGTTGATTGATTTCAGAATTCCCCATACATTTCTGCCTTATACAGATTTGAATCCTCATTGTAGTTTCAGACCATCCTTTCCAAAAGCATTCTCAGGATGACTATTGTCAGAATCAGGATGTGGAAAAACTGTTAATGTGACTGTGTTGCAGGAAAACCTGAGAAGAAGACCTGAGAGGAGACCAACATTCTATCAGTAAAATAATGGGAAATGATTCATAAATGCAGTATTTATACACAAGTACAAAATGTTCTAGTACTTCAGAAAGTAAAGAAGGTTCATTTAAAAACAAACAACAACCTTGGCAGACTCTAACACAGAATAAAAACTTTTAAAAATTAAACCAATTCTATTGTCTGAATTCTTTTGATTGTCAGCAGACTAGAACAAGATTAACTAGTATAAGAAAGAAATTGTGTGGGGTCACATAAGTGCCAAATTTAGAAGACTGTCTCGCCAACTTAATTCAGGTGAGCCCGTCCATCTCTGTACCCCTTTCTCCATATATCTGTTCATCCCTCTGACTCCAGCCTCTCTCTAGATTTTTAGTTTTTTGTCTCTTACTAGAGGCAAGTTTCCTCCCTTCGGCAGTGGAAAAAAACAGGGAGGCAAGGCTGCCAATGACTGCAGGCAAACAGCATCTCAGCTCACTGGCCAGAGGTGAAAGGTTTCCTTTCCTCTTAGCTGCATATAGGGTGGGAAGGGATGCTGGGGAGACCGGACAACGTCCATTCACCACACCCAAAAAGGAAAACACGCTCAGAATTCTACTACCACACACAAACTACATCCCATCTTCACACTTCCTTCCAACATTAATGAATACCTTTTAATTACTATCCTGGTACATATTTTTTCTTTTGGCTTTTTGTCTTAAGCCTTTTACCTGTTCTTCCAAAGACTTTATAATGACCAGATTTAAGTGTCTAAAAGTCATTATGCAATAATTCACCTATCATTTCCTTAATGATTAAAATTTATGTAATTTCCAGATATAGCTACATTTAAAAGATATTATAATTATACTCCTCTAACCTGAAACATGTTTCTTTAAAAAAGTATCTCCTTAAGATAATTCTCAGAAATGGAAATAATGGGTGCAATGTTAAGAACATTTATATAGATCTGGTTCTTCGGATACATTATCAAATTTTTATTCAAAAAGTTGTATTAAATTTCAGTGTCTCCACAATACATACATGCTGCAGCATCACCGTGTCTTTATCAGCAGTGAGAATCATACGCAGATAAACGTTTCTTAAGTCATGGTTCCTAAACATTCTCACTAGCTCAGAACGCCGTCATTAATCCTACTACATTTACGGCCTGACTTCCTCACCTGGGAAGACACAGGAAATTGCCAAGCATAGTTTTAGCACACAGTAGGCCCTCACTAAAAGTTAGGTAAA